ATTAGTGAATATTTTAAAGTACACAGATGCTTAAATGACCTGGCTTGCAAATCAGAGGTGAATTCCCCAGCCAGACCTTTGAAAGTCAGAGCACTTATGTGGGCTGTTTAATCCATGTTTGGGCACTCAGCTTTTGATCTCGAATTCACCTCTCATTTGCATCCCTATTGCTGCAGCAGCACAGAAGCCTCATCTTTAGGAAAGGCTTCAGAATAGGCCAAATAAACATGCTCAGTAGCATCTCAGCAAATGACCGCAATTCTGATTTTTACACCTACTTAAAAAAACCAAAACCAAACAAACCACAAAAAACCCAAAAACCAAACGCGAGAAGCTCTCAGAATGAGTCATAAAAACCTTTTTAAGAAAGTAAAGAAACCCTCAGAACAGGAAACATTACTGATAATAAGATCTTCCTATGTTTTAAAAGGATCCTTCAACAGCGCTGTCTTTAACAACTGGAACTTTTTCTACCTTAGCCCTCCCCCAGTTTCCTAGTGTGCAATCAAAGCCACTTTTTACTATTGTTAGATGAAACACTGGAGCAGTCAGGGAAGGAGGGGAGGAAGAAAGCATGAAAAATAAAAATCAGAGCAAGTGATCAGAAAGGAGAAGTTGTTTTCATTTTTAAGAGATCTATCTTTATTAACGTAAGTTAAACCTAAGGCATGTCTTCTATGCAGCTGCCTAGAAAACCTGGGCGTGGCTATGCGCGAAGGGGCTGTCAGCCTTTGCTGTTACAATTGCGCTGAAATCATTCTGCGTTTTAGATGAAATTGATTTAAAACTACTTGGGCACCTCACACTTCCCATTAGTACCATTGTTTTTGCCTCTGGTGTCCTTCAAATATTCATGGATGCCTGCTTATTCTGCCATCTCCTCATTCTCCCTCCTGCCTCACTATTGTAGCCTGCTACTACTACTGTGTTTTTAATTGCTAAGCCTTCCGTTTATAGTGCCAGCAGCATAAGACATTCACACGGAAATGTTGAGGATTTTTTTTTCCAGACTCCCATGAATAATCATAGGGCTGCAGCGTAGTAAAGTTTCTCTCTGTTAGACTTGCCTGTTAGATGTCATGGAAAGATGGATTAAAATTCATTGGACACAGACAAATAAAAACTTCGGATCTACCCTAGAAAGGCATCTCTTGCATCCCCCAGAGGGGAACTGCTTTTCTTCGTTTTGTTCTCTTTCAAAGTAGAGATCCCCTCCTTCACAGCAAGAATCCTGGAAGTCTTGAATTTGTGTTTTGGGGCAAAACCCAGCAACAGCAAGGCACATAGAACAGCTGCAATTTTATTTTCATCTTCTGGAAATAAGCACAGCAATGATATTTCCCTCCCCACCCCCCCCTCCATTTGCCCGATTCTTACCATCCGCTCTGTGTTCCCCAGGCTGTCTGAATCCCCCTCAGTCTTTTTTCTACCTTTCTAAGGAAATTGGGGGAGTAAAGTGGGAGAAGAAAGTCTTTCCAGGTTGAAAAACGAGGTAGTATTTTTGGACAAGGGAAGTATAGGAGATGACTTCATCCTTTTGCAAAGGGAAGCGATAGTTGTAATGGCGTGAAAAGTGCTATGCAAACCAGTGGATTATCTCAGTGCCCATGTAAATGCTGGATTAAAAGAGCATGAGATAGATATTTCAGGAACTAAGCAGGATGTTGACTTTAAAATTGCTGAAGAGTCAGCTGACGACGTTCAAACACAATCACTTGCTCTCTAGGGCAAGTGCTGAAGGACCTGCACTCGGTTTGCATAGAATAATGCAGTTCAGGAAAAAATCCAATTACTGAGCTAATTATCACCTTGGATGAGTGGTAACAACCAAATTTAAAGCAAGAGGCCACTGGAGGAAAGCCTGAATCACTCGCTAGTCCCAAAAGACCTTTGAGAAGTCCTAGTTGACAGCGAAAAGCCCAGGAGTAAAGGTATCACTGGTTTGATTGTTAGGCGCAGTGTATTGTAGTTTAATGCTATGCAAATTCCCATTGCCTTCAAGAAGGTACAAACATAGCTTTGGTTACTAACAATTGTGGAAGATTTTTGAAGTCCAAAATGGATTACCTGACTGAATTTATTCAACTAAACTGAATTTCAGGACAGAAGTTCGCTTTACAAATTGTCTTTATTACCCTCGGTCTTAAAAAAAAATAAAACTATGCTTCAAAATATCTGTATAAAGATTGGGGTTTTTCTGGTAGTGTCTGAAAAGGTAAATCCTTTCTTGTCTCATGTCCTGAGGCCCATGTTTTAGCTGCTTAAGGAATCATTATTGTGCTTGGAATGGAGGATATAGCTGCAATGGAGCCTGGTTTTGTTTTGTTTGTGAGAGCTGTTCTGTTTCGTTCTCTTTTTCCCAGTCAGGCTACATTATCCGTCTCGGAGTGTCCTGAAGCACTTGTGATTTTCCTGAAGCACTTGTGATTTTCCCCGATTGTTTCATGCATCTTTCTCTCTCTCAAAAAAAAAGGGGGGAGGGGGGGAAGAGAAATGGAGCTAGAGCTGCGTGCTGGGCAAAAGGATTCCTACTTATTATAGATTAGAATTTTCTGAAGTATTGCTTGATTTGTATGGGTCTCAATATGCCTCAAGAACAGAAATGCCTTATAGGTTGGTAAAAAACTGGGGTAAAGAATAGTATTGACTTGTACCTCATACTGCCACACTGATTTCAGAGGGACTGAAAGTTAATAAGGAGTCTTTTAATCTTAAAACATATGCATTTGAAAATCAGCAGCGTTTCTCTGCTGAGAATAGAAAATTGATTGAATTCCATAACCTAATCTTTATGCTTATTCTTGCATATGTTGCAATTGCAGGTGAATATATATCAGGGTAGAAGAATTCTGACAACCATTTTGAAGTAAAATCATTCTGTATGTTCTGAACTGCTTAGGAGGCCCTTCCCCCATTGCCATTTTCTGTTGCATAGGAAATGAAAATTGCAGTTACAATAAGCTGAGCCAACCAGAGGCAGGAAGATAAATAATACATCAAATAAAATGTTAATCTATGTAGATAATGTACTAATATTAATTACAAATAATTCTAATTAAGACTTATATTCTCTCCAACTGTATTTCTTGCAAAGTAAAGAACATGCCTTTTTAAAGCAAAAATCAGTTGCTGCTAGGGAGTAGAAGTAAAACAATTCTGCTCCTCTTCTGTCTACTACATGGAAGCCAGTATGCAATTTTTCTGTTGGTCAGTTTTCCACAGCTTTCTGGGGGAGGCTGTAGAGGCTGGATGAAAAGGCTTTCTAGCATTAGGGACATCAACGGCATCCTTCTCCCAGTTGGCTTCAGCGGGAGCTTATGGCTGCAGCTCAGAAACTTCCAACCTTTTAAATATTGACACACAAAATCCTGGGAGCCAATACTGCAATGAGGATGTACAGACTCCCAGAGTCTCTACTGTGCTTCAAAGATGACATTACCCTGGGTTTACACCATCCTTTTTCAATGTTATTTAAGCTGTTTGAAAGCCTTCCATATAACTTATACCTTTTTTGCTGCAGTCTTCCTCGGGGCATGTCTAAGTTCTTATAGTGAGTAGCTAAATTGAGGCTTTCTAAGTTGACTGGCCAACCATCAGCCCGTTCGAAATCTCCACTATGCTCTGTGCTCCATCCTAATGAGCCAGACCACTGCCAGTCCCACCTGGCCATGCTACCCTCATCACAGTTTGACAAAGGACAGGATGAGGACCATGCCTGGTGTCTTCCTCGGTTCTGGTGCCAGGAGAGGTGGTGCATTGGCACTTTTCCCCTGCGTTCGCAGGCTGTTGAACAGATGAGACTCTCACCACCGTCACGTATGCTGATCGTCGTTTGGGGCAAGTGGCTTTGTCTTTACCCATTTTCTGCTTTAACACCATTTTCCAAGGAATGATAATATTTACATATCTGATTGATAGACCTTCTGCTAAGGCTAGTGATTGAGGGCAAAACTCTTGAGGCAATATTCTTAATGAAGTGTCCTGAAATCCTAAAGCACCGCTGCCAGAGCAGTATTTCAGGGAAATTTACATTTACTATAGCATTTCTGTTAGCTAGGCTTTCATTTGTACCCTGAAGGCTTGGGAGATGGATGCTTGGGATATGCTTTGGAATTCTGGTGTTGAATATCCTTAGTCACCACGAAAACCACTTCTTTCTGTTGGACGCATGCTTGCCCACAGTGATTTACTCGTTCCTTATTTTCAGACTTTGTTAATGTCTTTTGTTACAGGTAGGAATAAAAGCTCAATCCAATCTACATTTTAGTTGATTTATGTTTTGTGACCATTTTTCCTGTGGTATTTATATTCCACTGCTACAATGAACATACTGAGTAGGGAATGTGTCATTCATAAGGGAGACAGGGTTACTGTCTGTATGGCCTAAGACCCTGTAATTTACAATTTTTCAAGCGATAAGAATGACCAGGGACTCTCTCGTTGCTGCTTAGCCAAATATGAAACTAAGTAAAGTGGTTTTTTTGTTGTTGTTTTTCCATAGATGTTATACACCCACAGAAATACTTTTGCATAAAGAAAACCTTTTGAGTCCAGCTGTTTCTCTTAAGCCTTAGAAGGGAAGAAAGACTGATTTAATATTCTTTCTGTTCACTGTTTTGGGGGCACCTGGCTGATGTGCTTCTGGAGCCAGTTCAATTATTTAAGTACGTAGTGTTGTGTATTGTCACAGATGCCAAATTCTGAAAGGACTCTGCCCCACAAGAAGGAAGATGGGGAAGAACGAGTTTGAGGAAAAGGAGGAGGGGACACAGACACTTTTGTTTTGTGTGCTGATAAGCTACAATATCAATAGCAATACTGAACTGAAATAACTATTTATGCCTACTTGGAGTAAACCGATGAACAGATTAGAGTGTGAACTGCATAATGATATAAGCACAGAATGAGAAGATATGTTAACAAGAAAATAAAAATGTGTTTTGGGGAGAATCTTATTTAAAAAAAAAAGAATTGGCTGTACAACATGTCTTTATTTCCAGCACCAAAAGATCGGACCATTCCAACACCAGACTGGCAATTCAGATCGAAAAGGATGCAGGTATGGCCTCAGAGTTTGGGTGTTTTGCTTGATTTGCAAAATGTGATGTATTTACACCATCGAAGCTCTGCCTGGGAAGCTGAAGAGATGCAAAGGGTTTAATTGTTGTGTGAACAAACCAGAACATTTTAAATGTAGCAGAGCACTGGTTTAAGTTGTGTGACTTGATAAGTAAATTCACTCTTCAGTTATGTGTAGCTGATCAGATCGCTGCAGGGCTGCGAATTGCTTGGTTAATCATAACATTGCTGGTTGTGCGGAGTACGCAGCAGACACCCCAGCTAGACTCGAAGGTCAGCTGTGGGCAGGGAAAGGTTTTGGAAAAAAGCAGCGGGTTAACAGTGCCCCTACTGCTGAGCAGTTTGGGCTGACAGGTATCTCCTCTTCCCTGGAGAGAAACCTTTTTGGAGAGGGGGGAAAGGGAAGTTGGAAAATTTGCAGGAGGGGGTAAAAGAAAGAAGTAGGAAAAATGGTGGGCTTCTCCTCTGGGGATTGGTGCATTAAATGAGCTCTGATCCATGGCAATGTAAAGCACCTTCCTGGGCTGCACCGACTGGGAAGCGAGGGCATTTTTTGGCAAGTCTGTGGACACGGAGAGCACGTGGTACCTCAGCCAACGCTCTTCAGCACCTGGCGGGACAGAGTCCTTACCAGTGTTTCATGCCGAATCCCGGTCCCAGTGAGAGAGGCCAGGGCTTCATATATGGGTTTCTTCCAGTTCAGTGTTATGCAGCTGATTTTATTTTGCCACTGAGGTGTCAGGGGCTTGTATTGTGGAGGTATAAGTTTACATTGTAATTATTGCTGTTATATTTTATCACCCCCTTTTCATCCTTTTCCATTACATCAGTAGCATGAACAAATACACATCTTCAAGCAGAAATGGGTGTAATCCAGGGTGTCCAAGAAGGCGAGAGAGATATTAGCAGTTTGAGGCATATATAGTGCTCTTTCATTATTTATCATTTCAAGGCAGGGAGTTAAGATGTTTCCGAAGGCCATTCTGTCATCTGATAGCAATAACCTTTAGCATTATTATATATGCTAATGAGTTAATTATGTTTTAAACCCCATAGCTCAATCAAAACATTCCTTTTGTTTGTGTACTTAAAACATTCATTTTATGACTCGTTTGGATCTTGACCCAAATATATTCCAGAAGGTGTATAGCCAAGTATGTCTATATGTGCATACACACCTGCATATACATACACACCAGGGCTGGATGCATAATGGCCATGGTGATGAAAAACAGCATAGTAACACACCCACTCCTCTTGTATTGAGGAGCAATTTGTAGGGGAAGCTATAGCCTGTCATCCTCTGTTTTTCTTCTCCATGCTATATCTGCTCCTAAATATGCACATACATAAATATGCATGTGTACCTGTACATATGTATCCACATACACACTCTCATGTATGCAAATATACCTACAAGATGTTGGTTTGTACATGTATATCTATTCATGCACCAGCATTTTAAAAGTATTGAAGGTGAGACACTGGTGCATTATAGAAAAGAAAAGCAGTTCTCATGTCAAGCATATATTATGTAAAAGAGTACAAGCACAAGACAACATCACATTGGATTATGTGGCACTGTGTTAGCATTTGTGAAAGGTTTGTTCCCTTTCACGGGTCACCATCATAAAGTGCTGCTTTTAATCCAGTTAAATGCCATAGACCTTTATGAGATGACATTTTTAGACTGTGATGGGGTGTTTTTCACCTGGACAATTGGTCCAAGCAATATGTAATTGGACAGCTACTATTTTCAAAGAAGTGGTAGCAATTCTAGTGGTAAATGAACCTTGTTTCATTCTTTCTCAATATACTAAGTGAACTCTCTTAAAATATGTATCCTCATCTTAAGTACCAACAGATACTCATGGACAAAGCCTTGAAAAATGCCTGGAGGATGAAAAAGAAAAAATCCCAACAAAATTACTGGGAGCTGTGTGACTGAATTCTTTAAAAATCTCAGAAATAATATTCAGATTTAAGCTTATGTACTGAAACAATCATGATTTCTGGTTTCTTAAAATTAAGAACGATATGTAGACATTAACTTAGCATTGCAGAGACTTTCAGTGGAACCAAAAAATTCTTTCTGTTGTAAAACATGGGGTGATTTGATTCAGTCTGAAATATGTGTTATCACTAATTTGATATTCTATTTACAATATTGGTCATATTAAACAAACGTTTCAGGCCTGATTCTCTGCAGGGCTAAAAAACACCTAGGAAATGTGGATTGTATAAAGTATCAGGAAGATACCATCCAGCTAGAGGAAAAAGCTTTATGCAGGAATAAAAAGGAACATGGGATTTTATGCAGAATGGCTTAGTGTATTATAAATTTTATTCTTTACAAATGTGTGCTGCTCTGGTTGTAGGAAATGATGACAATAATCTCAACTCAATTTTTTATGAGCATTTGACAAGATCTCTGCAGGAGTCTCTTTGTGGAGATTTGATTCTGGGCCGCTGGGGAAACTACAACACAGGAGACTGTTTTATTCTGGCATCGGATTATTTAAATGCCTTTGTGCACTTGATCGAAATTGGAAATGGCCTTGTCACCTTTCAGCTCAGAGGGCTGGAATTTCGAGGTAAGGATCCCTGATGATTTAAATAACAACAAAACCAGCAAGAAACCCTGTCTGGCTTTTTAATCTATCACAATCGTATAGTAGGACATAGAGTTTAAGGACCTTTCTCTCTCTCTCTCTCTCTCTTTTTAAAGATATTTGTCTGTCTGTCTAAAAGCTCTGTACTTCTTTGTATCATTATTTGAATGACAATGTTTTGAAACGTAGGTGTTAAGAAATTTGGAGTCATGTTCTTCAGTATCATAAGACTTTCAGAAAGAAGGCATGTTGAGTTATTTGCTTGGTTCACAGATCTTTTAGGTTATGCTTAGTTATATTTTCAGATTATTTCTTTCCCTCCGTAACTATGAAAACCGAAGTTGTTCTTAAAATTGTTCAACCCCCCGAAACTTGTCTTTGAAAAAACCCCAAATATCATAAGACTCCTCCCATGGAAAATATCCTGTGTCAGCTCATGCAAGATGCCAGTGCTGAGATGGTCTCCGTCAGAGTAGAACAGGAGAGGAGTCAAACAGCAAGTCAGTCAGGGCTTCATATTTCTCTTACTTAGGAAGCACTGACTTCAGTTGAAGAAGGGACCTGATTTTCTTCCTGTTCAGTATATTCCTCTGTCAGGACACTCCTCTTTAAGGAATGGCAATTGCATCCCCTTCCTCGGTGGTATGGCTTTTGTGAGGCCAGTTGCTCGTAGTGTCACACTCTTGTCCTTTTGTCTGTTGTTGTCCCTAAAGTAGGAAGAAGAATGAAAGTAAAACCACAAAACTTTTAAACAGCTTTTAAATTTTGTTCATGCTACACATGTTGGCTGTCTGGATTTGTTGCTTGGGTTTGTAACCTTTCAAAGATACCACTTTGCAATTGCAGGTGATGGCAGTTTTGAAATCCCAGAATAAATAGCTTCCCAGGCTCAAGGGCTGAGCATCTAATGGGCAACGTGTAGAGGAGTGTATAATCAAGGTGACTTTTCAACAAGGTTGAGTATGAGAAAATAGGAGACAGACTGGCTCTTTGAATGCACTTAGGTGTGGGAGGATTAGACTAGGAAATAACATGTGTGGGCTCAAGTCTTGACTCTGTGACAGACTCCCTGTAGGATGTTGAACAGGTTGTGGTAAATGCTTGATGTTCACTTTCCTTCCTATATGGTGGGGACGAAGATAACACTCCTGTATCTTAAGAAAAGTTACGTAGAAAAGAGTAAATACCTGAAACAGCTCGGTATTGTAGTACCTGAAGAGATACCTACCTATTCAGTACAAAGGCAAATTGTAAGAAAAAGCAACTGGAAAGGAGGAGAAAGAATTTGTTTATCAGCCTTATAATGTCTTGTTGTTCATGATGATGATGATGATGGATGTGTGTCTCTGTGGCTTTCTTCAACTTCAAAGACATCTGTGCAAGTATTATCTTCTCCTTGTGTGCCCCCAGGGTAAGCAGTGGTGCTGCTGTGTCAGAGAAAGGTTCTGAGGTTAAGTACCCTATGGTTCCACAGGTGGAAGGCTTTTTTTAGGTAGATTTGGAATTTGCTATTCCTTTTTTCAAATCCAAGCTGGACAAATGCAGATTTATGTCGTTCTGCAAGAACAGTTAAATACTATGGCAGTTCAAATCTCTTAGTTACAGTATCACTGGTTTCACAGGCTGGTAAATCTCTGAGATAATTGCTTTTTTTTAATTGAAGATAGTTTTAGTCAGCCTGTTATTTTTGGTTCCTCTTAGGTTGCTCACAGTTATAATTCTTTATGGAAACTCTGTGAAGTCAAAAAATAGTTCATTCATTTCTGCAGATCTGAAAAGAAAAATGACTTCCAGGAGTGATTTATATATGTTAAAGAAAAGACATATCTTGGGCAATATTGACATTTTATTCAGATTTGTTGGGATTTTGAGTAAGCAGGACCATGTACATTTCCATTAATTTGCATTCTAACTTCAGAAAATCTTTGCTGATCATCCTTTTGTGTTAAAATAGTTCACTGTAGGATTTGAAACAAACAGAAGAAAGAAAACTCACTTTCATGCTTAAATTACATGAGTTTTTTGAGTGTTTTTTTTACTTTATGCAGTTGCCACCTACTGCTGGGTCCCTCTCCATCATCACCATCCCCAGGCAGTTCAAGAAAAGTAAATCTTGGAAACAGAGATGAAAAAACATGAGAGGATCCTCAAACCACGTGCTAGCTGGATAAAAAGATCAGGGGCCTAGCAGACAGGCTTAATGAACTGGAAGTTGAGTGGTGAACAACTGGATAGTTTTGCTGCAAAGTGGTTTGGGGAGACTTTGTTTGACTTTGAGCCAGGATGGTTCATTACCAGGCGAGTGCCATTTTGCATTTGGATCTGAGAGCAAACCTCAAAAATTGCAGTGTGCCACCTGTCAAGGCATCTCTCTATTCCCTAAAACCACAGTTTAAGTAACTAAATGGGTCTGAAAATTGACTTTTCCATGCAGATTGCCTAATGCTGTTCAGTGTTAGTATTGTAGCTGGTTTGCTTTGTGAATACATCCAACATGTCTGCTGGCTGCAACAGGTTTTTAAATTCAGCTGGGGCTGAACCCCACAGCCCTCATGTGTTTCATGGGTTGCTATTTAGAGCCAGCTGAGTTCTCATCACGGATATCCCCTTTCCCAGTCTCTCTCACACTCCTCAGGAGGAGGCTGGCAGCCTGCAAAGCAGCACCCTTACCTGAGCGTTCAAAAGACCTGGACCAAGAGAGCGGCAGCAAACTGTGAATTGGGAAAGCGCAGACAAGTTGCTGGAGGAGGAGGAGAGGAATGGGAAAATGGGAATAGGAATCTCACCTAGATTATCTCATCTTCAGTACAATTCCAGTCCCCTATTCCCCTCAGAGTATCACTGGGGGAAGAGACTCCCCAATACTAGAAGGAGAGGAAAAGGATGGAAATGGGAGGGAAGTGGACTCCTCTCTGAACCGACTGGATGATGCTATTCCAAGAATAAGAGAAAATGTGTAGTTAGTTTGTGTCCTCACAGACATGGTATGTAAGGAAGGTTCCTCCGGCTTTCAGAATATTTTCTCCACATACAGGAGACGTTACGGGAAGAGAAACTAGGAGCGTGTGAGTATTGTTATTACGTTGTTTGGCCTGGAACAGAGAAGCCATGTAGGATTGAATAAAGGAACATACCTGAGGAAAGAACAGCTCAAACACGTAGCATTTGACATGCCATGTGAGAGTTGAACCTCACTGGACCGTGCAGAATGGGTGCCAGAGAAACCACATGAATTACAAGCCTGCTTAAGGATGGAGTAGGAGGAACAGAGGAGCCCAGAGGGGAACCAGGCACAAGCCAGATAAGATGGATCTGCCTGACACCGACTATAAAAAAAAGCTTCATGGACTCCAAAGTGTGGGCAGGTAGTCTGCTGCGTGCCCAGTGCAGACTTGCTGAGGTGGTGTGCTGACACCAGAGGGTTGCTTGTGTCTCCGGGTAACCCATGAGGACTGGCGTGCTTTAGATAAACTACGCTGCAGTACCGTGCCCTTCCTGTAACAGGTTTCCTCTTTGTATGAACAAGGAGCCCTGCTCTGGTGGGGCCGTAGGGGTTACGCAAGGGTGCCCAGACCTGAGTAAAAGGAGCCAGAAGGGCTGACCTGAAGGCAGAAGCTGCGTAATGGGGATGGGCCAAGGGCTGTCCCAAGGAAGCTCTGTGAAAGCTGAGACTGAGCTGAAACTCTTCCTTGGAAGATTTTCTTTGCTCCTTGCTTTGAGCGGCACCGCTGCCTGCAGGGGCAGGAAGTTAGACCGGGCTGCCCCCAAGCAGCACCAGGAGCCATCTCCTGCGCGGACTAGGCACGTTCTTCCCCATTTCATATCTTGCAGCTAGCGGGTGTGGGGTACAACTGAATACAGTAGGATTTTTTTCTGCATAAGTGGGAAGAGTGTATGCAACTGTCCTGGAAGAACCTGGTGGTTTACAAAGTCAAGAGGCAGTTGTTAAGCACTAGGCTCATTTTCTCTGCTTTGGGCATCTTACATTCCTATTTTTAGTTGTCTGGTCATGCACTGTTTTTCACATTGGACCCTGATTCTTTCCATTGTACAGAATGGTTTGCCACAAGGAGGAAAAAAAAGGGCTAGAGGAGGAACTTGAAATCTGTAATTTCTGAGCATTGGCTGCTTGACTTCAATTTCAAACAAGTGATTTTAATTGAGGGCCTTAAAAATTTGCCGTTCCTTAAATAGGAACTCTATGTTTACTTTGGAAATGAGTGAATCACAACAGTGTTCTCTGTGAGTGTTTTCTGTTTATGAGTAAATCAAAAGCAATATTTGCATTGTGGAGCTCTGGATTTTCCTACGGGTTTTTCTCACTGGTAGCTGAAAAGGTGTGCTGGCAATCCTGCCACAGTAGTGCCTGAAGAAGGGGTCATAGAGTCTTCTGAATTTAAGTGTACTGGGGGCAGGAGGTACTGCCTCCCCAGTTTGCAGTCCAGCCTAATTGAGAGTTGGCATTATAAATGACTGATCAACATGCCTTTCTAATTGTATGTAATAGAAGCATTTGGCTCAGCTTTTAAATGAAAAAAACCAAAACCCAAAAACCAACCAAACCCCTGCAGGCAGGGTAAGAAGATACAGACTGAGCAGACTGAAAGAGAGTCAGCAAAGCTGAGATTCCTCTCATCCATCTTTAGTCCTGTTCAAATTAAGGACCTTGTATGAATGAGTTCTTCACTCTCCCTTTCTACGGACAGAGAGGGGATGTGCCTCCATCGTGTCGTTCATCCTGTGTGTAAAGCAGGGGGGACCCTCAATACCTCCAGATATCGAGAGGAGACGCCCGACTCCTCCTTTACCGAAAACAAAGAGAGAATAGTAATGAGCTCAGGCTAGGTGAAAACTTTCAGGTAGCTGCACGTCGGTGTGGGGGAATCAAGCCCTTCGGTAACTTACCTCTACTATCTGTGTTAGACCACAGCGGTATGCTAAAAGCAGCCTGCCAGAAGAAATACATAATGTCTCATTTAATT